TCCTTGTTTTTATTTATGCACCTAAGGATGTTATAAGAAATTGGATACTAAGATGTCAAACTATGTGCTCGGTTTAGGAAAAACATGTTGAATTATTGACTGCCTCGTGTTTTGCAACTCCCAACTCAGGGTAGCTCATAGTGCACAAGTGCAACAACAACAACAACAACATAGCCAAGTTGGGGTAGGCTAGAGTTGAAACCCACCAAGAGCCCCAAGTCACGGTTCAGGCACTCATAGTGCACAAGTGCGTGCTTGGCATTTTAGTCTCTCATTTGTTCTTCAAGATATTGGCAATAGTAGAAATCTTAAGCAATTTTTCTATGCTAAAATGAAAATTATCTCATTAACAATTTGTTCATTGCTTGAGCTGTGAGGTGCAGAGAGAAAATGAACAGGAAGCTAGACTGCTAGAGATGCCTGCTAACCATGGTTTAAGTGAGTTCCTATTGAGATGTGGTTGAAATGAGCATCTAATTCTCTGTACAGCATAAATGTTTTAGAGCTTGAAATATCAAGGAATAAATTCATTTACATTCAATATTTAGAATAGAAGGCATACCAGAGAATAGTGATTATGCTCCAGAACATAGTTCTATACAACATACTAGACTACTAGTCTTATCCAATTGTGACATGTGAATGAAGGAGCTGATGAATTTCTTAGAAAGTAATTAGTGCTCAGTAAAACATGATATGAAATTTTTGTTGATATGAACCAATTTCTTACAAAATATTTACTACTAGTCAACCCCCTTTTCTAAAATTACGGAGATGTGAATCAAATTTTTTATGAAATTCAGGAGCACATGCTTATATGAATCTGCCTTGTTTTAACAATGTGTATGCATCTGTTTGATCTGTCAGCTTATATTTGCCTTTTGCTGCAGAGTAAGGTTTCTACTCTAAGATGAAGTGATGAACATTTCCAATACAGAAAAATACCATATCAGTTGTCACATTGCATTACATTTATTTTCTGTGGGTGCACATGAGGGCTGCATCTGTACTTTCAGAGTTTGGTCATGAAACCATTACATCTCCTTTCTGTTGAAGCTAGCACATGGTCCAATCTCAAGTAACATTGTAAATTCAATTTTTTTAACAATTTCCCTTTCTTTCTAATGAGCTGTTGTTTTCTTTATTTTGATTAAAAAAACTCAGCCTTCCACTAAACACTATCCTTCTGTAGGATATAAGAGGCTGACGCCTTTGGTGCATGCCGTCTTGTGCTTGCAACATGGAGGGATCATCGGCTTTTCTGAATGAGTGAGCAGAGGTTGAGAGACCAGGATGACCAGCAGAAGATGCTTTAGCTCAACCTTGTTTTGCTTAGCAAGAGTTACTTTTCCATCTACACACGTAAGGTAAAAATTACTTTCTTTTGCTAAGTGAAACCTTGTATAGCTTTGTCCTAAACGAAACATTTATATCTTTCACCATCACTCTTTCGATGTTTATAAAATGTTGAGCAACATGGGCATCCAGAAGAATTATGCCTGTGTGCTGGTGATGATAGCAAGGTATGAATAACTGAAGCCATACTTCAAGCGAAGCAAGATTTGGTTTTTTTATGCCAAATATAGTTACAGACAATAGTTTAAGAGGATGTTTTAATTCTGGAGTGCTCATGGTTATCTAACATTATTCTGATGATTGTATAATTACTCTCATTGAGTTTGAGACATATGTTTAAAGTTAATGAAGGTTTGATTTCATATATGTGATGATGAAATTTGTAATCATGGTATAATTATTTTGCAACACCAATTTAATACCCAAATACGAAACGAAATAGGTGCCAATAAAAATCGCCTCATTGCAATAAACTAACATACAACGATTATATGTGGTTGTAATAAATATTATTGCCACACTTTGTGTGTTGCTATAAGATCTATTGACCACCAACAAAGTTTTGTTACGATATCGTTTTCTTGCCATCAACAAATATACATGGCAATAGAACTTAATGCAACCAAATATTATGCATTGCAATTGAGGCTATAGCAACCAAATGCATTTCGTTGCAACAATTCTTGTTGCAACGGAGCATACTCTGTTGTAGTATGTTTATATTCCCACGCAACAATGGTGTGGCAATATTGCCATATGGCAACCATATAGTTTGTGGCAATATTGCCATATAGCAAGCATATAGTTCGTGACAATATTGGATATTGCAACACATGTTTCGTTGCGACAAACTAATGACACAACGATGCTACTCATCGCAATAACCGTACTTGCAACCATATTGTGGTTGCGTTAGTTTTTTATGTGCATTGCAAAAACACCATATTGCAACACCACATCCAAAAGGATGCAAGACCCTATTGCACCGTTTCAAATGCAACCACTTGTCAACGACCATACATAGATGCAGTTGATCTGTATTGCAACCAAAATAGCCATATTGCAACCCAATATAGGTGTCACGACAAGGCTGGATCTTAGTAATATGTGATAGATGAGTGAGTATTTTCTAACCTCCTGTTGGCCCATGTATTTCTTTCTTAATTATGTTATTGAAAGTCAAAATAATTTGATAACAACTCATGTATGTGTAGGGCTTTTGCCAATTGTCAACCTAGGCCGAAGAAAGGGTAGAAAAAATTGAAGTTGAGCCATGCAACCAAAATTCCAATAAGTAGTGCTTCACTTCCAGTTGTGAAGTAGTGTTTCAATTCAATTATTAACCATGTGTTTCATATGTTCGCAGTGCCAGCAGCAACGTTTGGACCACACATGTGGGTTCTTTGCGGCCCACAACTTGATGCTGGCGATGGGACATGCCAATTTGGATAAGCCGCATGTAATTTTTGGTACTATTTCTGTCATATATATATTGTCATCTCTTGTTGTGCAGCTTTATTTTATAGATGATGGCTATACACATGTGCAACTTCATCTTATGACTACCTTTCTTTGTCTTAGGAATTTGAAGTAATGTTCACTCCAATCAACATGGACTACATTAGAGAGAAGATCACCTTGTTTATTGTGTTGCAGATCATCGATGAAAAAGGCGAGATTCATTATGCAAATACACCATGATGAAGTGCGTGGTATATATGTTTATTCCATCTGTCCTTGCTAGCTCCTGTTATGCTCATGAGTTTGGAGCTGTGAGATACAATTGGAGATACATGTGAATTACCTAGTGATGAACAATCTGTGAGCTGTGTGATGAACAAATTAAGTTTTGAGATAAACAACTGATATATATATATATATATATATATATATATATATATTTGTACCAATTTACGATAATGACAATACACATTTATGATACATGGGTTACTATAATTTAAGATGATACTTACTATAATGCTATAGTAAATCACTTATGAGGGAATTACCATAATCTCATAAATTAGTATAGTAATTATCGTAACTCAAAGTGGCCACAGACTAACTTATTCTGCGGCTAGCTACAGAACAGTACGTCTATATATATATATATATATATATATATATATATGAGATCTATGTGTATATATATGTGTGATCTGTATATATCTGTGCTATGCTGTGGGCTATAGACGCGTCTATAGTATTTTCCTTGCTCCAGACGCGTCTGTAGCCTAGACCCGTCTGTGGTAAGAAAAATATTACAGACACGTGTAGAATATAAATGTTTGTAGCCTGCTATTTACTACAGACGTGTTAAGAACACGAGTCTGTAGTATGCTATTTACTACAGACGCGTTTAAAAATATCGTCTGTAGTAGCATCCTTACTACAGATGCGTGTTCTCATTACAGACGCGTTTACAAATGTTGGTTCTTCACACAGATGCATCTTAATCTTGTTACGAACGCGTCTTGGCAACACGTGTCTCGAGTAAGGGGCGTGTAGACACCCATCAGTCTCTGTTAAGGTCTTATCACAGACGCGTTCGTTTTGTCACAGTCACGTGTTGGTAACATGCGTCTATAATCTGTCTGAACGTGCGTACGTGATGTGCTTTTTGTTACATAGCGCGATCTATGAGGATCAAAATGTAATATTTTTTATTTGTTACTACATGGGAGGGACCAATAATGACTTACTAGAAAAGAATAGGGGCGCGTTTAGTTTGCCCAGAGTTGGCGCCGCCGGATTCCATGCAGATAATGTAGCGCACTGTAGCATTTCGATTGTATTTGGTAATAATTGTCCAAACATTGACTAATTAGGCTCAAAACGTTCGTCTCGCAAAGTACAATCAAACTGTGCAATTAGTTTTTGATTTCGTCTACATTTAGTACTTCATGCATGTACCACAAATTTGATGTGATGGGAAATCTTCTTTTTTATAGTGCCAAATTCTAGAATCTGGAGGAACTAAACGTGGCCTAGGACCCACGTGCAGCTGCAAGCCAACGATAGTCACGTTTCGAGTACACCTGTGGAGACTGTTGATGAAAGCACTCTTGCTTCATGCAGATTTGTCAAGGCCACTCACCAACCACATTTGAATTTGAATGATAGTCAACACTGTAAACACCGTGAATCAAATAAATAGCCTCCACATGCCTAACATCTTAAATCGTATGGCATGTACATCGAGGTAGCCTGCAAACAATCTCTTTCATGGAGATGTCAAAAAAAAGAATTCTCTTTCATGGACGACCAACTTCATTATTTTTAAAAGAAAACCCATTCTGACATAGTAGTACAATCTTTGGTGGAATAATTTACACGCATTCACATTGTACAACGGCTCCTTTTTGTTGTTCATGTACCATACTAGTTAACAAGCAGTACCATAATCTCCATTTCACTATACGTCCTACCGGCTACCGCAATCATTAACCAGCCACAGCCACGAGCAGTGTAACAACGCCTTGTTCTCGCATGCACTACCTGATGAAGAAACAAAAAAAGAAAAATTATACCCTTGTCTTCTTTTATCATCATCATCATCATACATGCAGTTCTCGTGCACTACTGCGTCGTGCCTAGTGCAACTGATCCAACAGGACGTGATTCAGTCACAAAGAAGATGACGATCAGATGTACGCTTTTGGCGGGTAGCTCTGAATGCTGTCCACCCACGGGTTGCAGTTGCTGCTGCCACCGCCGGCGCCGTCGGAGTGCACGGGAGGCACGTCGCGGAGCGCGCGCCAGACGGCGCTGTTGCACTTGAATCCGGAGCCGAAGCCGATCTGCCACACGCGGTGGCCGCGGCGGACGCGGCGCTTGGCCTCGGCGTACGCGAGCTCATACCAGAGCGAACTGCTGCTGGTGTTGCCAAACCGGTGCAGGGTGCACCTGCTGGGCTCCATGTCCGCGTCCCTGAGCCCCAGGCTGCGCTGCACCTCCTCCAGCACGGCGCGCCCGCCGGCGTGCACGCAGAAGTGCTCGAACGCGCGCCGGAAGTCCGGGATGTACGGACGGACGCCGCGGGAGCGGAGGACGCGGCGGACCACGAGGGACCTCAGGAACTTGAGCTGCTCCGACAGCGGGAGCACCAGCGGGCCCAGGGTGGTGATGTTCGTCTTGAGCGCGTCCCCGGCGACGGCCATGAGCTCGCGCGCCAGCGACACGCCGACGCGGCCTGTGCCGTCCTCGCGCTGGTACACGCAGCCGTAGCACTCGTCCGCGGCGCCCTTGTGGGTGCGCACCGTGTGCAGCAGCCGGTACTTGGCGCGCCCGGCGTCGGCGCGGCGGTTGGACAGCAGCGCGGCGGCGCCGCCCTTGCGGAAGATGCAGTTGGACAGCAGCATGGAACGGTCGCTGCCGAAGTACCAGTTGAGCGTGATGTTCTCGGTGCTCACCACGACGGCGTAGCACCCGGGGTTCGCCTGCAGCATGTCCCTGGCGAGGTCCACGGCGATGAGCCCCGCGCTGCACCCCATGCCGCCAAGGTTGAACAACTTGACGTCCTCCCGCATCCTGTAGCGGTGCACCACCATGGACGCCAGCGACGGCGTCGGGTTGAAGAGGCTGCAGTTGACGATGAGCACGCGCACGTCCCGGTGCGGGTCGACGCCCGTGGCCGCGAACAGCGCGTCGAGGCAGCCGAACATGACGGCCTCGGCCTCCGCGCGCGCCTCCGCCATAGACAGCCGCGGCGGCCGCGCCTGGATGCCCGGCGGGAGGTACGTCCGATCGCCGAGCCCGGAGCGCCTGGTGATCTTGGTCTGGAACTCGAGCGCCTCCGCGTTGAAGCAGCCCGTGTTCTCGGTCATGTCCAGGAAGCCCTCCTTGGAGATGGCGTGCTCGTCGCCGGGCCTGTAGCACGCGAAGTCCACCAGGTACACCGGCCGCGGGCGCTTCAGGAAATACACGGTGAGCAGCAGCACCGCTTCGGCGAGCCACGCGACGCAGGTGAGCAGGTCGAGCGAGTAGAGCTTGTCCGCTCCGACGAGCGAGTATGCCGCCGCGGCGAGGAGCGGCGGCGCGAGCGCGAGCGGGACCCATGAGGATGGCGCTGGGATGCCGCCGGAGCGCAGGCCAAGGCGGACGTACTTGAGGTTGACGCTGCGCGCGAAGTCGGGCAGCCGACGCCGGATATTGACGACGAAGCTGCTGGGCTCCGCGGCTGTCTCGGGCAAGTGCAGCTCGGCCGTGAGGCGCTTGCGCTCCATGACCGCCGCCGTTGATGGCGCGGACTCCATATTGTCACCTCTCTTTGGACGTGAGCTAGGTGGCGAGTGGCGACTTCTTTGCGTGCGCGGGACTTTGTTGTGTTGGTTGGAATTGGGTAGAAAATGGAGTAATGGACAAGGGTGGCAAGTCAATTTATAGGCGTTTTGTTTTGTTGCCGAGGAAAATGCCCCGAAAGTAAACTGACGTCGAGGTGAATTAGCTCGGGATAGATACAACTGCCATTTTAGCGGTCAAAATTCAGGTTACAGATGGAACGAAATTTGCCAAAAAAAAGCTTTGGATTTTTTACCCCATTTCTCGAATTGCAGAGAAATTTGTTTTTGCTGACCCATCGTCGACGGTCAGAAAATATTTTGGTTAAAGACCTTGGACGTAGCTTGATCCATTTTCATGCCGTGGAGGAAATTTTCTGCTTGATGTCGGGCGCGCGGATGCTTGACAGTATATGCCTGTAGGCATGAACAAGACCACATGGAACTCGCGGACTGCTAATCGATTGGAGCTGAGCTTGTACTCATTCTAGATAGGTCTGATGTACCGTGAGCTCTTTTTTTAAATTTAGTAAAATGACTATTTCTTATGGCTTGCGAGTAATGTAGTGGTAATGTATCAACTTATTCTATTTCATAAACCAAATAAAAAACTAAAAAAATAAAATGACAATGAACTAATTCATTTCACAAACCAAACTAGGACGCTCCTAGGATGGTCCAGCCGCCTACGACTGTAATCATGTAGATTTTCTAGGGTGCTTGTCAGTGGCTCATCTTTTGTATGTTAAACTCTCTTACCTTGTTTACGATGACGCGCAAATCTCCCAAATCTCCCGTGCATTCGAGAGAGAAAAACAAACCAAACATCCCATCGTTGACTTACGTAAACGATGTGAGTGGATGAGGTGATACGTTTGAGCGTGCATAGGGAGACCTAGTAAAGCGAAGCTATATTCATTGCTAAGAGCAACTCTAGCAGTAGCCCGCAAACAAGGGCCGCTATTTTCGATTTGGGTGTTCACCCCTTTTTTGTAGGCCCAAATCTATGCTTTCATTGCCCCAAACGAAGACCCCCAAATTTCTTCCCATAGCCACTGACACATGGGACCAGCCTGTCAGTGACTCTCCCTCCCTCTTTCTCTTTTCCTCTTCTTCAGGTTCTGTCGGCGCTGTGAGAGGGAGATCCGGAGGAGAGAGTGAGCGTGCCACCGAGCCGCCGGAGGAGACCACACCACCAAAGGAGAGTAGGAACCGGAGGTGCGCGCTAGGGAGATCCGGCGGGGGATCGACTAGCAGCAGGCAGGAGAGACAGGAGCTCGCTCGTCCGAGCGTCGGGCCAGGAGGAAGAAGACTTGGCATCGCTCGTCTCGCTCATCCTAGTGGCCCCGCGAGGGAGACCAGAGCAGCGGCGTGCGGGTAAGCTCAAGCACCGGCGGGGAGTCGCGGGAATGGCGGATCCTGTCGCTGCTCCTCCGGGTAGGAGGAGAGGGAGGAGCCACCGGGAAGACCGGATCTATGACGTCGCACCTCGGGTGTCCGTTAGAGGCGGACAACCGGGGAGCAGGGAGGTGTAGCGGAGGGAGGCACGACTAGGTTCCTTCCGATCGCGCGGTGGGAAAACTTACGCAAAAGCCGGATGGGGGCTCGAAGCTGAGCCCCCAGAAATGGGTGCCGGAGGGTGAATTTGGGTGCCCACCTAAATTTCAGGGCCCTAGTAGGGGCCTTACTGGAGCATGTTTTTTTTGGCTTGGACCCTCATATTTAGCTAAGAGGACTCAAGTAGGGGCTCTACTGGAGCTGCTTTGACCTAAACCTTGATAACTCGAATATGTTGGGTTTCCTGATAATGGCCGACTTTGAGGTCTTTATTTAGTTTTGCTTTTAGGATACTAAGCGCTATATTGCAAATTGGAGTAAAATTCACCACCGGTTCTTAAATTTGGTCGGTGCTGTCATCCTAGTCGACGAACTTCCATGATGATATATCCAGCCTGTTCGTTGATTGTTTTCTGGGCTGATAAGCCCGGCTGGTTCTGGTTTGTTGTGAGAAAAAAACACTATTGGCTGCCTGATAAGCCCTAGCTAAAACCAACAAGCGAACAAGCTGATCATATATGTCGGTCCCCAAATATGGCCAACAGTGTCATTTTAGTCCAGGAATTTTCAAGATGATTGTTGTGGGTGCCTAGGTGGTGCCATCCTGCTCCACAGACTTCCAAGTGATATATTCAGCTCCCAAAACATGGTTTCGAGTCTCATGAGTCCAAACGGGGCTTAACCCACTTTTATACGCTAACAGTGCATTTGACATGTACCTGAAATGTGGGGTCCACATGTCAGGTCCACCTTTCCTCTCTACCTCTGCTACTATGAAGAACGAAAAAACACTTTCATGTGTTCCACTCATTTTCTGTCGTCTCCTTCGTTCGTCGCGTCGCGTGGTTTGTTTATTCACCTTCGTCCGCTATTTCCACGTGACCGACGTAAAAGTCAAGTACATAAAAAGCAGACCCTCCTGCTCCCACGTCCGCCACTTCCACCAAAAAAAACAAAAAAGGACACACCTTTCCCACAATGCTCCCGGTCCCTGCTTCACTTGGTCAATTGACACTTTGTCCTTGCCCCCACCCAATCTCGCTCGGCCGCCGGCCTTCGCCCCTCCCTGACCTGCCCAGCAGATGCCCCGCCCTGACATGCCATCCCATAGACAGCCCTGCTCCCGAGATCCGTCCATCCCTTGCCAAGATTCGTCCGCGGGGGGTGTGCTCTTCGTGTGCAACGACGGCTCGGTGGTTTGCGACGCCGATGTGTGACAAAGGGCCGGCGGGGTGGAAGGGACCAGCCGTAAATTTTACTCAAAAATCAGAATAGAGATCAAACGCATAGTCCACAACTTAGTACCACGTCAATGTACAAAGTGTAAATCAGCCGCCAATCCTACTCAATGCTTTGTGGCTTGTGATTTGTTTCGTCTATATAAGAAAAAACGGTTTCACCTATTTTATATGCATGTATTGCGCTCTCGGGATGCAACGTTAAGAAATGGAAATTGATTTTGGTTTTGAAAGTTAGCAGGAGAACTAGGACTGCTCAAATCAGGTCCATCATTATCTACTCGTAACAATAGTACGAATCAGCCTAGCAGCACTTTGAAGGTGGAAGTGGAGGAACCACAGGTTGGGTGACGTGTGTATATCTGGCGTGATCTTGTATGACGCTGGATAGGTCCTAGAACTGGAAAGAGCAAGCAGCTCCAATTCTGCGGTGAACTAACAGCCTGCTTCCTTCGATGTGCTTCCTGCAGCCTCTGCCGCAACGGCGTGCAATTACACGGTGTCGGCAACACCATGTCAGCGGTGGCAAGAAGAAACTTGGCGGCTGCTCGTAGGGACGCTGTACGGTAGGCACGTAGGGTGGTTCACCTTCACCCCACGGCTCCCACGCTCGCTCAACCACCGAGGAGCCTGTGCTGCTTGTACAATCCAGACTGTGCCAACCATCCAATGCTTTCTCGATACCATCTTATTTATGTATATAATAATATAGTCTAGTTACAAATATTTGACGTTTTATACGAGGACACGTCCTTTGCAATTTAGTTTATATGACATTTTTAGTAGTTGGAATAATTTGAAAACCACTCAAGGTTTTTAATCGAAGAAAACCTCTCAAGTTATGATATTGTAAAATTACTTTAAGAGACCAATCTGTCTACGTATTATTTCTAGAGACTTATTACTATGCTTGGGACCAATCAAGTTTTTGATTACTAGAGACCATTCAAATTTTTTATTCCTAGCAGGTTTATTTTCCAGCCAAACTGATCATTAACAAAAAAATTATTATAATTAAGTATACTTCAGTATTTTTACCTTGCTCGTCACTACTAACTCTAATTGAGACCGATCAGATGTTAGAGTATTTCTGCGGCTTGCTTGGCCGCACCTCGATTGCCTTGGGCTCCATCGCCTGTGTGCCCAAACCCGCCTGGATACCCAATTCCATTTCCAGGGTCGTTAGCGCGATTCGACCGTAGTAAACAAGAGACCGCATCCACGCGGACTCGTAACTTTTCCTTTCCGTCCCATTCCTTCTCTGTCCCTTCCTTTACTCGTTCAATTCTCAAATATATTTCCCGGTACCGTCGCATGTTGGTCGGATTTGTTCCGTGGCATAGCTACACCTGCAAGAACATTTCTTTTTTCTTCCCTTTCTGTTTTTTCTTTCATCCATTTTTCTCATTTTTTTGTTAAATATTTATATGTTATACTACATAGTTATTTTCGTACATAGTTTTATGTTTCTGCTAATATGTTATGATATTAATTTTATATGTTTAAGTTTTTGAATATAACTTATACGTCCAACTTTACATCTAAGTCATTCATCAAGTTATATATCTAAGTTATATAAACAAGTTACTATAATATAAGTTATCAATGTTGACTTGTACATCTAAATAAGTTTGTTCATCTAACTTATAAGTTATACAAACAAGTTATTATAATATAAGTTATCAATATTGACTTATACATATAAATTTGTTCATCTAACTTATAAGTTATACAAACAAGTTATTATAATATAAGTTATCAATATTGACTTGTATATATAAATTTATTCATCTAACTTATAAATCATACAAACAAGTTATTATAATATAAGTTATCAATGTTGACTTGTATATATAAGTTTATTCATCTAACTTATAAGTTACTAATGGGAATAAACATGCTACATAAACTATTTATGTTTTCCCTTTTTATCAAATCGGGACCTATAACTTATTTTGTGTCAACATCCAAAACATAAGCAAATATTAGCAATAATATGACAATGTATGTATATTTAAGCTTGTATCAAATTAAAATATGGTCTTGATAGATTTTTTCTCGCGTTGATAAATACAAAAACATTTGCTCGCAGATATGTCTTAAGTTTAGTTTTTATAATATCCATAGGTTGGTATAATTAAATATCAAGTTTCACGAATTATTTTCAAGACACTTTAAAAT